TGGGCTCTGCCCTGGCTGATAATGATAATCACCATAGCGAACACGGTTCCAGGTCCTCAACCTGTGAGGCAGTGCTGTCCTCACACATGGCTGACAGGGGAGGGAACAGCAGCAGCAGAGATAAAGGGACAGCAGTGGGGTCACACAGCTGATGGTAGGGAGCAGGGCCTACAACCTGAGTCCAAGCTGCAAACCACTGGGCCACCTACCTCTTGTGTGGGGACTTTGAATACCAGGCCACAGGTGGGCTGCTCTGAGAGCAGTGGGGAGCTATGACAGGCTCCTGCTCCAAGCTGCATTTATGGACCTGTCTTCTCACTCCTCCTGCCCTGGTAGCGGAGGTGTCTGACGTTCCTGGGTCTCCCCCAGCAGCAAGTCCGCCTGCCCCCACCCCATATGGGTAGACATGCGTCAACAGGCAGCACAGGCTCAGACCAGGTCCACCACCTCCCTTCTCTGGGCCTTGTTCCCTCGTCTGTCACACGGGAGGATGGCAGTAAGTGCAGCTCTGTCTTCGCATGATGGGAGGAGACTCAGATGAGGGGATGTGTGGGTGTTCTAGAAAATACCATGAGAATGCAATAGCAGGGGTGGCTTTGTCATCGGGATGTGATGCCCTGTGGCTTGTCCCTCCCTGTGGAGGCACCGGGCTGCCCGACCCTCTCCAAGGAGTCCTCTCCACCAGAGGGTGACCTCCTAGGTGCCAGGTCCCCAGCAATGCTGGCCTCCCACTACCCCATGCGCCCCAGGCCTCACCTCCAGGCCTCCAGCGGCCTCAGGTGCCCCCACCACGCCTTCTTCTCACAGCCTTCCCGAGTCCCTGCGTCCTGATCCCGTTGTCTTCAATTTCTGTGGCTGTTGCTGAGCTCGCCAGGTGCATCTTTGGATGGATTGCAGTCACCTGTACTCCAGCCTGTCAGCCTCTGGTTCAGTCCCTGAGCTGCATGGTTCCTTGCTGTGTTCACTTAGACACTGGGGACCAAGCCTGTCTCCACAGCTGCAATCCTGGATGGATCCACGGGGTGGCAGCAAAGCCCCACTCCCAGCCCCTCTCCCTGGAGCCTCCAGGCCCAATGCCAGAAGCTGGGGTACCCTTGGCTTCAGGAAGGCCATGCCGGCACAGGAAGCCCCTCTAGTTCAATTTTGTCTTTACCCCCATGCCCCAGCCCTTCACATTGGGGTCGATTTGTTGCCTATTCCGTGGCACTTCTGTCCTATTACAGTGGGATCGTTTGGGCACTCAAACTGCACACCTTGCCTATGGGAAATCAATGAATCCTCTCCACATCTTTTTTTTCTGTTGAGGCAAAGTCTCCTATGTTGCCCAGGCTAGTCTCAAATTCCTAGGCTCAAGACAGCCTCTCGCCTTGACCTCCGAAAGTGCTGGGATTTTTTTGTTGTTGTTGTTTTTGTTTTTGTTTTGAGTTGGAGTCTCACTCTGTCACCCAGACTGGAGTGCAGTGGCCGCTCCCGGCCACCGCAGCCTTGACCTGCTGGGCTCCGGCGATCCTTCCGCCTCAACCTTCCAAGGAGCTGGAACTACAGGCGCGCGCTACCACGCCCGGGTAATTTTTTGATTTATTGTAGAGATGAGGTCTTGCCAAGTTGCCCAGGCGGGTCTCAAAACTGCAGACTCAGGCAATCCACTCACCTTGGCCTCCTAAAGCGCTGGGATTACAGGCTAAGCCACCGAGCCCGGCCTGGGATTTTTTTTGAGTTGGAGTCCCACTCTGTCGCCCAGGCTGGAGTGCAGTGGCACGCTCATGGCCACCACAGCCTTGACCTGTTGGCCTCAGGTGATTCTTCTGCTTCAGCCTTCCAAGTAGCTGGAACTACAGGCACCGCCACCACTTGTGATTTATTGTAGATATGAGGTCTTGCCAAGTTGCCTGGGTTGGTTTGAAACCCGTGGGCTCAGGTAATCCTTTCACCTCAGCCTCCCAAAGTGCTGGGATTATAGGTGTGAGCTACTGCGTCCCCATTCCCTATCTCTTTTTTGTTTTAGAAAGCAGGATTTATTGAGGACAGAAAAGCTCCTACTGTGGGAGGGGACCCCGCTCCCCATCTCTTTTTAAAAATTCAACTTTTTTTTTTAACATAGTCACAGAGTTCTGTGACTGTCACTACAATTTTAGAACATTGTCATCACCCCCAAAAGAAACCCCGTGTCCATTAGCTGTCACATCTCCCTGAAGCACCGTGACCATCACTGTGTTCCATCTCTGTGAATTCACCTGTTGTGGACATTGCACATAAATGGAATCACAACAATATGTGTCCATTGTGCCTTTTGCACTCAGAATCTGCACAGTGTTTTCTAGGTTCAGTCATGGTTTGTTTTTGTTGAGTTGTGGTCTCACTCTGTCGCCCAGGCTGGAGTGCAGTGACATCATCACGGATCACTGCAGCCTCAGCCTCCTGGGTTCAGGCAATCCTTCCACCTCAGCCTTCTGAGTAGCTGGGACTATATGTGTGTGCCACCACACCTGGCTAATTTTTTTGTAGAGACAAGGACTCACTATTTTGCCCATGCTGGTCTTGAACTCCTGGGCTCAAGCCATCCTCCCACCTTGGTATCTCCAGGTGCTGGGATCACAGATGGAAACCATCATGGTCGACCTCAGTATCTGACTTTTTGATTCAGGCTATCCTAATGGGAGTAAAGCAGCATCTCTAACTCTAACCTTAACCCTAACCCTCCTTGTAGTTTTAATTTTTATTTCAATTATATGTTTATTGGCCAATTTGTATATTTTATTTGGAGAAAAGTCTAGTCAGATCCTTTGCCTATTTTTATAATGACTGACTTGTCCTTTTATTATTATTATTGAGTTATGAGTTCATTATATATTCTAAATACAAGTCCCTTGACAACAATATGATTTGCAACTATATTTCCTGTTGTCTTTGTATTTTCTTATTTTTTTGAGTTGGAGTCTCACTCTGTCGCCCAGACTGGAGTGCAGTGGCTGCTCCCGGCCACCGCAGCCTCGACCTGCTGGGCTCCAGTGATCCTTCCTCTTCAGCCTTCCGAGTAGCCGGAATTATAGGTGCGCGCTACCACACCCGGCTAATTTTTTGATTTATTGTAGAGATGAGGTCTCGCCTGCCCAGGCGGGTCTCAGACCCGCGGGCTCAGACAATCCACTCACTTCAGCCTCCCAAAGGCGCGGGATTACAGGCTGAGCCACCGAGTCCGGCTTTTTTTTTGAGTAGTAGTCTCACTCTGTTGCCCAGGCTGAAGTGCAGTGACACACTTGCCTTGGCCTTCCAAAGTGCTGTAATTTTTAATTTTATTGTAGAGATGAGGTCTCGTCAAGTTGCCAAGGCTGGTCTCGAACCTGTGGACTCAGGCAATCCACTCACATCGGCCTTTACAATCATTTTAAAATATGATTGTAAAGGACACAAATTCATGTATTTGCATGTGAATATCTAGTCCCAGCACCATTTGTTGAGGAGACTATTCCTTCTCTGTCGAATTGTCTCAGCACCCCTGTCAAAAACCAATTGACTATGAATGTGAGAGTTTGTTTCTGGACTCCCAATGTTATTTTACAGATAAATATATCCATCTGGATGTCAGCACCACACTGTTTTAATGACTGTAGCTTTGTGTTAAATCTGAAAACCAGGAAGTGTGAGTCTTCCAACTGTGTTCTTTGTTCTCAATGTTGTGTTGTCTCTTTGGGGTCCCTTGCATTTCCATGTGAGTTTTAGGACCTGCTGTCAATTTCTGCAAAGAAGCCAGTCAGATCAACAACCCTTTGAGGCAGGGCATATTATCCGTAATTAACAAATGAGGGCACTGAGGCCCAAAGATGTCGTCATTTGCTCCTGGTTATATGACTAAGAACTGGCAGTCAGGGGTTCAAACCACACCCATTAGATGCTAGTATCCATCCACACCTGGGCCCCGTCCACGGACCTCTGGGCTCCCGGGTGCTCCTCGCTGGGAGACAGTGGAGAGAACCCTGCACTGGCTTCCAGGGTTCAGGGCTGCAGGCTTGTGGCCAACCAGGAACCCAGCTGGAGCTGGAGAAGGTTCCCCCTTGGTGACGCCTGAGCTGGGTGTGGGGAGCCCTCATGCTCTCTGCTCTACCAACCCTCAGCCCTGATAACCGGACCTGTGGTGGACCACGCTCCAGGCACAAAACTCCCTGCTGTGTAACCCAAGACAGTACTCCCTGCCAGGCACTGCACTGAAGGGATCTGTCTATGCCCTTGGTGACAGCGTTCTGCACTCCAGGAGACACCCTACCCCTGCTGGCATTTACTCAACAGTTACCACGTGAGTGCTGGAGCACTGTGGAGTGAGAGACAGAGCCAGACCAGCCTCATGGTGGTGGCATATTGAATAATCACTGACAAGTGCCCATGTCCTGGGGAGTCAGAGCCCAGTGGACATCCCCTTGGGCCCAAGGGTCAAGGCCCTGCCCTCACCTCCCCTCCTCCTTCCTCCCCTCAGCTCCAGGAGGATGGGGTAGGGAGCAAATGAGCCCCCAGATCCATCCCTGTCATCCCTCTTGAGGGGCAGGGGTCCAGGTGCCCCTCCCTGACTTACTTGAGCCCCACCCTGGCTGCCCCCACATTCCCTGCATCAGCCTAGGTTCCCAGACTGTGCTGCCATCTTCACACCCACACACCTCATGCTCCTGCCCTCCTGGGCCCTGGCCTGGTGGTGCCGAGGGGGTGTGGTGTTTGGGGGACACAAAGGGGGTGTGGCGTGTGGGAGGGTCACCGAGGGATTATGGCGTGTGTGGGGGCACTGACGGTGTGTGGTGTGTGGGTCGTGGGGTCTGGGGAGGGTGGTGTGTGGAAGGGGGCACCAAGGGGATAGTGTGTGGGGGGTACTGGGGGAGGTGTGGCATGTGGTCTGTAGTCGCCCCTCTTTGGTCTTCCCCTTCCCTGTGACTGGCAGCGTCTGTCCCAGGAGGTGTTGCAGTTCTCTGTTCCTTCCACTGAGGGAGTGGGGTGGCCCCTCTGCGGTATGCACAGGGTCAGGCCCTCCCGCAGGTCCCTGAACTGGACCCCTGGCCCATCTCCACCAGGAACAGGAGTGAGACCCTGGAATCAGGCCTGGCAAGGGTTGGGCATGCTGTCTCCTGCAGCCCTAGGGCCACAAGGAGCCCAGGGTGGTGCAGGGACAGGGAAAACAAGGGGTGGGGGATCTGCAAGGAGATGTGGGTAGGATGGGCCGACCCCAGCACCAGCCACAGATACAAGAGGAGGGTCTCCTGCTGATTCCAGCCAGCCTAAGCTGCTGCTGGCCAAGCAGGTGGGACAGTTGCAGGCCGAGGCCCTGTGGTTTGATGAGCTCAAAGCGGCTGGAACAGGTCGTGTCCTGCTGCCCGTTTATGCCCCCGGGGTGGCTGGGCATGCAAGGGGTTCTCAGCCTGGAGCCTCTGGCCTCAGGGACCCCAGGGCCAGCCCTGGGCAGCCCCTCCATCTTTACACCTGTCTCTGCCAACCTTCCTGGCAGGGAGCTGGCTCTGGTGTCCACCTTGGCCAGCTCGGAGCTTGTGGCATTGGGACAGACCCTGTCTACACAAGCGTGTATGCTGCTTGCATGCACCTACAGGGGTCACACTGAGGTGGATTCCCCTGGAGCCAGGGCATAGACGGGCACAGGTGACTCTTCTGCTGTGCAGGGTCAGCTTGGCTGCTGCCTCTTGGGCAGCCAAGGGGCTGGAGTCGCTGAAGCTTCCTGTATGAGAGCCAGTCTCTGTCTATGCTGGGCTTAGTTCTCTCCTGGGGATAGCCTCCCAGAGGCGTGGGCCACGTGGCTTTCCTTCTCTGGCTTCCACCCTCAGTCCCAGGATCCCACAGGCCTGGCCAGGGCACCCACATGTTCCTTTAGGAGCAGAATCTAGTTCCCAAAGACATTTAATGAAGAATGCAATGTTTGGAGACAACCAGATGTAGGGCAGCTGGGTGGGGGTAGTGAGGGGGTAGTTTCAGCTCCTCCATGCCCACATGGCTGCAGAACTAAGGTACAAGCCAATTCTCTGTGCTCCTCTCCGGGTGCAGAACCCCAAAGGGCACCTTGGCTTCCAACTCGCAGCAGCTGCCAGCAGCACTGCCTCTGACCATGCTGGGGGCCACTGAGACCTTCAGATCTTTGTCAGCATAACTGTCATTAAGCCAAGCCTCTCTGGCCTACCACAGGCCTTGGCAGCCCCAGATACAGGTGTCAGGAGCCTGGTCCGAGGGATAATGGAGTAATGGAGAGGCCTGGCCAAGGGCACTGGAAAGTCGCCCATCAGCCTCAGTGCCCTCAGCTCTGGAAAGTAGAGCTCTTCATAGACAGGCACAAAGAGCATGTGGCCCCACCAGTCAGCACCTGGGCTTGGGACCATGCGTGGCGACCAGAGCCAAGCCAGTCATGGGGGCCACAGGGAACGGGCAGTGTGAAGTGCAGACCCCGGAGCCCAGTCCTGGCTCCTTAGAGGAGTGGGAGGGCTTGCTGTGTGACTGTGGGCGTTTCCTTCACATCTCGCCTCCATTATTGGCTTCACAGGGGGAGGTGATGTCACTGGCATGTACCTTTCACTAGGGTGCAACGTGAACGACCCACCTCACCTGTGCAGACCCTGTGCGTGGCACCCAACCACCTGCTGCTGCCCCCCGGCTCCAAGTCCATGAAGGCTGGGCCCAGGACTCGACACAGCCTCAGACACTTGAAGTTCACTTTGGCAACAAGACTTTTATTCAGTCAAAAATGGTAGCAAGTTAACAAAGCCCAAGTCAGGCCCCAGCCCAGCCTTCCCCAGGGAGAGAACTCCAGAGGGAAGCCCTGTGGGGAAGGGAGCACTGGCACCCGCACGGTGTCAGACCACCCTCCCGAGTCCACGCAGACACTGGTTCTCTAGGAAAACACCACAGTCTACCTTCTTCAGCTAATTCACTAGAGTTTGGGGTGGGGTGTCCCTAGAGGGCTGGGGTCAGGGTTCTTATGGTCTAATCTCATTTTTAAGGAAGACACTTAGTTTTTTCTCTTTAAAAAAAAGTTATTCTGCTATTTTAAAAAATGTTTGAGTGTAACCAAAAATAGGTATTTTTTTTTTCTTTAACTAAGACCTTCAAAGGACACAACAGAAAAGAGAAGCAAAAAGTCACAGGAACTTAACCCTTTAACACACCTTGTATAAAAATAGCTTCCAACGGCATCTGCTGACCGTGGTGGTTTCACAGTCGTGGGGTGGGTCAGGCTGGCTGTCCCCCAAGACGGGCCTGGGGCACCTCTTCGGGACCCCCCATCACACAAGTGTCACACACGCATCTTACACATCATACATGTATCACACACACATCACACACGTGTCACATACATGTTACATTCCAGGGGCCAGGCCTGCTCAGGCCACGTCCGGGCACAGTGCCAGCCGCCTCCCAGCGGGCAGCGCAGAGGATGGGCTGATAAGGGGGTCACGGTGGTATGGACAGGCGAGTTCAGGCAGCTGCTTGTTTGGACAATTGATACTTCAAGGAACACATTTCCTCTCATTTTTGGCTTTTGTCATTATTTCTCTCCGGCTAATCCCACTTTATTTCCAGAGGTCCCCTTGGTGACCTGGCCTGGGGAGGAGCTGGGAGGGAGATCCAGGGACACACGGTGCAGAGCCCGTGCTGTGAGGTAGACGCTTCGTCCACACCTGGGAATGGGACATGCTATTTCTTCTTTTCTTTAACTCTGGACAACAATGTGGGAAGAGAAGGGTGCCCACAGGGGCTGAGGTAGGAGTGCTGGGGCTCTGTGGGGGCTGAGGCCACCACCCGCCCCTAGGACATTCATTCCGGCTGAGGTAGGTGCTGAGAGCCAACAGCTAAGTCCATCCTGAGAACGTAGGGAGTGGAGGCCCACCAGGCCCAGCCAGGCGGGTGTGTTTTGGAGTCTAATTCACCTTCCTTGCTCTCTCTCTCCTTGTTTTGATTTTCAGTTTTGCTTTTTAAAAGAAAACGTTAGTTCAGTCCCAAGTCATGTGGGTGCCAGGGAGAGGTGAAGGGTACTGGCTGGGCCCTGCAGGGACCCTATGGCTCCTCAGAGACAGGACAGAAATGCTGGGAGCCCTGGGACCACCTGGATCCACAGACAGATGCTCTCTTGCCTTTGACCTGAGAACGGGGGTTGCCCTCCAGAGCTGCCGGGCTCCAGTTAATGTCCCAAGAGAGCTGGCAAGGCCGCCTGTCCTTCACTGAGGGAGCTGGAGCCTCCATCCTGGGGTGGCAGGGCAGCAGGCCCGGGGCCTACCTCCGACGTCTTCCCCTTTGGATGGCTGAGCCCCCGACGGGGCAGTGTGGAGAGTGGGGTCTCCTCACAGAGGCTGGGGGCTGCAGGGTCCTGTGGGGAAAGGACTGTCACACAGGTTTCAGCTCCAGGGCCAGGGCCAGGCCTGGGTTCACCCTGCAGGAACTTGGGGTCTCCTGGGGCACAGGCAGAGGCACCGTCCAAGGGTTCTGTGCCCAAGCAGACCCGGGTCGGCCAGGGCCCCTGACCAGAACGTGCAGGGGAAGTGAGGGTGGGAGCAGGAGGAACCAAGGGCTCAGAGGACAACCTGCTGTGGTGCTCACCATGAGCCTGGGGTCCAGCTGGCCCTCCCCTGCCAGGGGGCACAGCTGCTCCAGCTCCTTCCCATCCACAAGCTTCTCTTCTCGGCCCGACTGGCTGCGGCTCCCCCCGCCTGCCCTGTTCAGGGCCAGCAGGCCGGGATCCCTCTGGGGTGGGGAGAGCTGGTTTTCCACGTCCTTACACAGGAGCACCCTGGCGTCGGCCCAGAGTCGGGGACATGGAAGCACAAGGACAAGCAGAGACATGAAAAACGGAGGACAGTGACCCCCTTCCCCCACCTTCCCTCCCTGGGCAGGACCCACCTGCCCCTTTGGCCGAACAGCAGGAAGAGGACACAGAAGATGATGCAGGTGACACCGATGTGGATGCCAACAACCATGCCTGTGGTGGATGTCTGGGTGGCGTCCTCCTTCCGGCAGTCGCACGGTGGGCTCAGGGCTGAGGCAGGCACAGGCAGGCTGCGGTTCTAAGGTTCCCCAGTTGCCAGCCCCACCCCTGAGCGGGAGGGCACACCCTGGACCATTTGTGACCCAGCCCACCCCCTTGGGTCTTTTGATGGTTACTGAGCACAAACTCCATGCCAGAGCCTGGGATGGGCACAGCAAACACTGTCGTTTTATCTGTGCCTCAGCTCTGGGAAGAAGGCACTGTCACCCCTCTTCTACAGAGGAGGAAACGGGCTCAGAGAGGTCCAGTCACTTGCCAGGGGTCACACAGCCAGCTTCTGAGTCCTCAGGGGCTGTGGCCCCGCCCGGCTCCCCTCAGCCGTGGCCAGCCTCACCTGTCCTCTCAGATGCTGCCCGCAGGGACACGAAGCGAACGGTGGCGTTGCCATCCCCGTGCTGGTTGTAGGCCACCAGCTTCAACTCATACACCACAGAGGGATCTGGGAGGGGCAGTGACCATGACTGCCCTGCCACATGCTCTGCAGGGAGGGGCTGGCCGCCCGCCCGCCCCAGGCAGGGCTGTGCCATACCCAGCCGGCTGAGATTGTATGAGGAGGCTGTCGGTGGCAGCAGAATGGGGCCGGTATAGGAGGCACTGCTTGCCGGGCGGTAGAACAGTTTGAAGCCTCCTTCCCGCGGGGCACGCCGGGGCCAGGGCTCCCACAGTAGCTGCAGGCAGGAGTTGCCCAGGACCCGCACTGACAGTGGGGGCGGTGCAGGAGCTGCGGAGGAGGAGGAGGAGGAGAAGGAGGAGGAGGAGGAGGAAGAGGAGTGAGAGCTTGTCTAGGGCCACCCAGAGTCTCTGACCCTATGCACACCCAAACCATCCCCTCCCATGAACTGGAGAAGATGCCCTGATCTCCAGGCAGACACTCTGTGCAGTGCTCACCCCAAACACACATGCATGCGCTGAACTTGCACGCATAGCCTGCACATGCAGCACATGCCCCACACAGTGCCTGCTCTGAACACGCATGCCACGAACATACATACACATCCCAAGCACTCATGCATGTCCTGAACATGCAGTGAAACACCAAACACGCATGTACACCCTGAACACACATGCCAGTGTCAGGCACTGGACTCCACCCCACCTCACCTTCACCCAGCGTGCTAGCCAGGGTTGGCACGGAGGCCAAGCTGGCCCCCCGTGGAGTGTAGGCCTTGATGTAGAAGCTGTAGGCTGTGGCGGGCTCCAGGTCGCCCACCAGGTGCTGGAAGGTGCTCTTGCTGACGGCCTCCTGGTACTCCAGCTCTGGGGGGTCTGGGAGCATGGGCAGGTGGGGTGTGAGGGACTCTGGGGCAAGAGAGGGAGGCTGGGGCGAGGGAGGAAGGGATGCAAGGAGGTGTGGACGGGAGGCATGGATGGAAGGCAGCAAAGCCCCGCCACCCACCGGCTGCCTTCCGGATGTGCAGGACATAGCCGATGATCTCCCTGGTGTTAGCTAGCGGCTCACTCCATGACACGCGAACCTCAGTGGGCGACACGGAAGCTGCATGCACATCACGGGGGGGCCCAGGCAGCCCCTCAGCCCACAGCACAGTCAGCCTGGCGCTGGCCTGCGACGAGCCCGCACTGTTCTCAGCCACGCACTGGTAGATGGCCTCGTCCTCAGGGCCGATCCCCGAAATGGTCAGTGTGCTGCAGGGCAAGGCAAGCTCAGACCTCCCTGCCACATCCCTGCGGTCACCAGGGCCCCCGCGGGAGGGATGGGGCATGTGTCTGAGGCCTCCCAGCTAGGCAGGCCTGGGACTTGAACCCAAAGCTCTGGGTTCCCAATCCAGTGCTCCTCCCTGGCGGGAGGTATGCAGCCTGCCTGGGCCCCTCATCCCAGCCCCACCCCGTCTCCTCCTCATCCTCACCCCAACACACCACACGCACCTGTTGTTGTTTTTGAGCCTGACGTGGCCTCCTGGGCCCAGCACCTGTCCATTCTTCAGCCATGTGACATGGGGGGGCGGCTCGCCCTGGGCCTGGCAGGTGAACACAGCCGTGGTCCCGGCTGGCCTGGAGATGGACTGGGGGTGCTGGACAAACTCTGCCGGGGCTGGCACAGGCAAGGAGGCAGGCAGAGTTGCAGGTAGGGGGAGAGGGACAGAGGCTGTGAGGCGTGGGTGGGGAGGCAGTTGGGGCTAGAGGGACGTGAATGGGGTGGGGCCTGCTAGCAGAGGCCCCAGGCCCTCGAGAGGACTGTTTTAAGGACTATTTCAAAGAAGGACATCTGTAACCGAAAGTCAGCCAACAGATCCCTGTCTAGGAAACTGTTACTTGAATAAACAGTAACAGCTCCCCCCAGAAGGCTCAGTGATGGGCTGCAAGCCCCACACTGGATCCCACCACCTCCACTTCCAGCTTGGCCTCCACTGACACGAGGCAGGAACACTCCATGGCTTGCTAAACCATGAGGGCGACACAGACACACACATGCATAAACACGCACATGTGCACACACAGAGGCACTGCTGTTTCCAGTCCGCCCACTTGCTGCCCGCCCCACTCTCAGGAGGGAGCAGCCACAGAAAAACCTAAAAATGTGCATCCCCATCCACTCATAGGACAGTTGGGCCCTGGGGCCGCAGGCTGGATGGAGGGGCCTGGCGGGCTGTGGGGCTGCCACGGGTGGGAAGATAGCTCCGTGTGTGTGTGTGTGTGTGTGTGTGTGTGTGTGTGTGTGTGTGTGTCAGGAGGTGGAGCTGAAAAGCGTGAGGCATGAAGGTGCAACAAAGGCAGGGCCAATCAGAAGGTGGAAATGACCGTGGGCAGGGCTGGCCAGGGCACCCAGGCACACAGGGGCCCATAGCCTAGATATCCTCCCTTCCCAATAGCACCCATCTGGAATAGCTGCTGCCTGGGCCTTGGCAAGAGCGCAGGGCAGGGCACATGTGGGCCACGGGGAGGAACAGGGCAAAGGGGGAAGAAGGGCTGTAAAGGTTGGTCCCTCTTGGCTGGGCTGGTCTTACCTTGCACCACTAGTCGGCCCTGTGCTGTCCTCCTCACACGGGTGCCCGGCCTATTGGCGGCACAGACATAGACGCCAGAGTGCTGGACAGTCACGTCTGAGATGATGAGGTTCCCAGTGCCCAGGACCTGGATGCCCTCCACCCCAATGGGGCGGCCATCTGCAGAACACAGGGGTAGGATGAGAGAAAGAGATGCTGGGAGGCTTCCAGAGGGCTCACCCTTCCACCAGGCCTCCAGGGAGCCCACTTCACCTCTGTCCTCTAGGACAGAATTCTCGTGCCTGCAGAGCTCCATCCCGATCCCAGCTCAGCACTGACTCACGGGGGCCCAAGTCCCTTCCCCCATCCCAACCCCAGCACTGACTCATAGGGCACCCAAGTGCCTTCCCCTCCATTCACATTCCCTCAATGGTAAGGTCGCAATGCCCATTAGTATAAAGGTCTGAGAAGTCTTGCAGTTAGGGGGCCTGAGTCGCTGCTTCTCAAACTTGTCAGACTACTGGGCCATGCTTTACCGCCTGACAGATCGGCTTGAGGACATGTTGAACCAGATGGTCCTCACAGTGCCTGGAGGCACCTCCCCACAGCAAGCCACTCCTTCCAGTCTCTCCCAGGGAAGCCCGCCCTGGGATCAGATTAGCACCATCAGAAGAAAGGAGACAGTTCCCCATTCAGTCCCTGAAGTGGTGAAATCTACTCCATTATCCCCCGTGGCCCCTCCTTCCCCATCTCAGCTGCTACAAAGTGGCACAGTCTCCTGTGAACGCCACCCGGCCCCACCCTCCAGCTTCCTTCCCAGAGTGACCTTTCCGCTCAGACAATGGGGCCCATCTGCACCTTTCATTCCTTCCCTTCAGCTGCCAGGATTTAGGCGGGGGCTCTCAGGGGCCCCGGCACTTGAAGGGGCTTGGGACTGCACACTGGGGGACATGGCACTGACTCATGGGGGGGGGCTGGGATGCTAAGGGCTGCCGGGGGAGCAGGTCCGATGCCAGGGAAGGGATGCGGTAACCCATTACAACATCCCAGGCAGCCATGCTGCAGGAGGAGGAGCCTGCCCTCCCCAGGCCACAGAGACAGAATGGACCTCCACGGAGAACAAATGGGGGTCGACATCCCCCAGAGCTAGGTGACGAGCTGCCTCTCCCGGGTGGACACAGGGCGGCGGGGAAGGCGGACACAGGGCTGTGGGGATGGGGCTCACCCAGGCGGCTCCAGGACACAATGGGGCGCGGGTTGCCCGTGGCGACGCACTCCAGCACAGCCGTCTGGTGCACTGTCAGGGTGAGGTTCTCAGGCCCCACGAGGATTGCCGGCTCCTGGTAGGCTCCAGAGCCTGAGCCTGGAGGAAGAGGCCACATCTCCATATTCTGGCTGGGAACCCTGACCCTTCCCACTGCCCCACCCACAGCCAGCCCAGAAACCAGGTCAGAGACAGAGACAGCGGACAGGGTACTCCTCACATCCATCCCTTGGTCCCAATGTTCCAGTTCTTCAGGGCCTCTCACTGTGGGGGCCTAGGGAAGGGAGAGGATGGCTTCCCTGGCAGGACCCAGTCAGGCACCTGGTCTCAGAGTCCTGAACCTTCCTGTGGGCAGCCCAGAGCTCTGTGCATATAGGGGACTTGCAAGCACCTGATGGCCTGTGGGAGGAGTACTGACTTGAGGGTGGGAGAGTCAGGAGATCCATGGGAGAGTGGGAAAAGTCTGAAGATCCTCACCTGACACGGTAAGTCTGGCCCCATGGCTGACCCGGACACTGGCGATGTTGGAAGCCACACAGTGGAAGATGCCGCTGTCCTCAGCCCGGAGTCCTGTGATCTGCAGGACCCCCTTGGGCAGCAACGTGTATCTGGTGGGGGGGACATGGTCAGCCACAAGCACAGCCAAGACCCCACATGGGACGTCCTCCAGCACTGCAGTCTGGTGCACAGGCATGGTGAGGTTCTTAGGCCCCTGGGGACAGAGCACCAAGACACAGCCCAGGACCCATGCATGGCAGCCACCAGACACACATGGGGCCTCTGGATGGCAGACATGCCCTCAACCCCAGCCTTGACAACAACCACACACACTCCTTAGACCCATCTCGAACCTAGAGTCTGGTCCCAGCAAGCAGCATGAACACATCTCGAGGACAGTGGCAGTGAGCAGGGCTCCTCCAAGGCCACAGGCACCTCTTCCCTCCTCTCCATGCACATGCTCACCTCTCATCGTCCGTGTCAATGGGGACTCGGTTCTTCTCCCACATGATCAGGGGCTCCGGAAGCCCGTGGATCTGGCACTGGAAGCGAGCCACCCCACCCTCCTCGCCCACGGTGGCCTGGGGGTGCACGTGGAAGTCTGACATGGCTGTGGACAGAAGAGCGGGACATGGTACATGTTGGGGTGCAACCTGGGACACAGGCAGGGACCTGGCGCTCACCCCGCTGGGAGGCAGCTCTTACCCCAGCTTCCCACAGGCAGGAAACACCTCCACAAGAGGTGAGGGTGGGGCGGGGACGCCTTGTCCAAGGTCTGGACAAACTCCCGGCAATGACAAATGGGGAAATCTTGGATCTTGGGCTGTCGAGAGCTTCCGGGGGAGACTGTGGTCCCCTGGAACGGACCCATGAAGGCCCATGGGAGAAAGCCCTGCTCCCAAGTCCCATCCCCACTTCAGCTATTTCCAGGCTTGTTCCATCAACTCGCCCTAGGGTACACAAGGGTTGAGCATCTTTTCACGAGATGGAGTCTGACCCTACCCAGCACCACAGGGACATCCCCATAGGGTGTGCGGTCCTCCCCCATACCTTTGCAGTCTCTCATGCACCCCAGGAGCAGCCTCCCTACACAGAGACAGCTCCTCAGCACCGTTGGCCTCTTGTCTGCATCCTAACATGTCACACATTTTCAGGCCAGCCCGCCTCTTGGGGAGCCTATACTCTGGTTTGCTGAGGCCAGGGCTGAGGGGCTGGGTGTGCCCCTCCCAGTTAGACAGGCTTAGTGGTCTTGCCTACCCCATTCCCCATCCTGTCCCCAAACCCACCCTGAGAGCCTGGGGTGGCCCCGCGTGGGTTCAAGCCTCAGCACTCGGGCTGTAATCTCATTAGCATCCACTTTGCCTGAGTGTGGGAGGCGGCAGGCGCCATCTGTCCAGGCGCCTCTCAGCACTCCATCAGCTGGACAGCCGCCCCTCCTAGGAGGAGCCTCCCCCAGCAGCAGGGGCTCCCCAGCATGGGCACACAGCCTTCTGTGGCCCCAAGCCTGACCCGGCCTCCAGGGCAGCCCCGAGGCCAAGCCTGGCGCCTCTCTCTGGTTCCTTTGTGGCAATTCTCTGCCTCATTTGCATGTGGCTCATTAAATATAAACATGCATTAAAATCCCCGCCCTTCCTCCTCCTAGGGGCTCCAGGGAGCACTGGCGTGTGGCTTCTTTGTAGTCATGAGGGACTGTGCCTCACGCAGGGGTGGGAGTGTCTGTGTCTGAGTGGAACCAGCTTTGGACTCTCCTGGCTGGTGTGTGATCTGGTGGGTGCAGGTGATGGATCAGGCATGACCATGTAGGGGCAGCCCTAGGGCCAGCTGTGGGGAGAGTGTCCCAGTTTGTGTCTCTGTCAGCCTTGTGCAGGAGTCCCAGGAGACCTGAGGTCAGCCTGTCCCAGCTCAAGCCAAAGGCTGTCTGGCCAAGGTTGGGGAGATGCCAGGGTGCGGTAGGGATCCTCTGCTCCAGGACTGGGAGCAGGAAGGCACCCCCAGGCCCTGCCCCTCCAGGCAGGAGCTGCCTGTCCTTCCTCAACCCAGCTGGAGGAGCCCAGGAGGGGACCTGGGGAGGCAAATGGCTCTGCTGCCCACAGATGCCTCTTCATTAAGGAACGAACTCTTTTGTGCTTCGTGCCCTTCTTGGCTCCCTGGAGGCACTTGGAGCTGGGACCCGGCCGAGGACAGATACGGTGGAGAGGCTGCTTCTATCAGAGGCCGGGAGGAGAAGGCCAGGTTTCTATGGCCTCGTGCCCACCTCCTTCAAAACCAGACAACCATGGCATGGCTGAGTATACCAGAGCTGGCAGGGTCACAAGAAAGGGGCCAGCCAGATCCCTTCACAGTGGGTACAGCTGGACCCCTAATACCAACACCAACCCTGACCCTGACCCTCCCCTGACCCCAACCCGACCCTAACCCTGACCCCATCCATAATCCTGACCCTGACCCTAACTCTAACCCTGACCCCATCCATAATCTTGACCGTGACCCTAAGCTCAACCCTAACTCTAACCCTGACCCCGACCCCAACCCAACCCTTGGGTATAGCTGAGCCCACCTCTGCCTGCACCTTCCTCTGTGGGGCCAGTGACCCACCAGCTCTATTTGGTGGCAGTTCCACCAAACATTCCATTAGAAGGGCAGCTTTGCCTTGAAAACCACTCCTCTGAAATCAGTTCTCTCATTTTACGAAGGGGAAACTGAGGCCTAGGCCATCTGCTAGGTGTCACTTAGTTCTCCCACACAGTTCTCATTCTCTGAGGGTAGGTGATCCCAGAATGGGCTGCACGGAGAGTAGCGTCTTCCCACGGGAGCTGGAGTCTAGTTCCGTCGCGAGTGCAGGGGTGGGTACAGCAGCCTTCCCTGTCTTCCCTACACCCCTGTCTAGCCTCTGGTCAGCCTGCATGTTCCCTGGGTGAGCCCCGGCTTAGAGTGTCCTCTGAGCCACAGATGGGAGGAGGACAGGTGCCCCTGGGCCCTTCAGCCCTGACTTCCCATCCGTCCTCACGACAGGCCATCTGGGCCAGCGTGCTTGGCGCAGCTGGTGTCTCCTGGAAATGTCCACCCACTCCCAGTTCACGAGCACCAGTGCTTTTCTTCGGGAAGTTGGGAGAGAAAGGATCACAGGATGAACATGCTTGGCTTGGAGTTGGCTTTGGCCCTGGCTCGTGCCAGCAGGCTACAGTGCCAGGTGGACTATCCCTTGCCATGCCTCCCTAGGGAGAAGGCGCCTGGAAACATGGGGAAGTGGGGCGAGGGCTGGATTCCGAACAGATGAGCTCTAAACAAGGCTTCTGGGGCTTGATGACTGATGATCTTCTGGGTGATGACAGTGTAGATGAGCTGTCATTTTTGGGGCTGGTGTAAGTGGTGCTGAGTTTGTGGTTGGTGCACACGAAGGTGGTGCTGTGATTTTGCTGTGGATGCCTCATGCTCCTGCAGATACCTGCTGGTCCAGAGGGACAGTTTTGGGTCCCTCCCTTCAAGCTGGGTGATGGGCCATGGTTGGGAGGCCCTTGAGGTGAGGCCTAGAGGAGGCAGCTGGGAGGAACAAGTCCCGCTTGGGGGCAGTCGGGAGAAAGGAAGATAAAGCCCCTCTGTCCACAAGCAGCCCCCAACTGTAGACATACCCAGGCAGTGGGTAGAGATGGGGGCGGGGAGGGACGAGCAGCCCACCTTGTGGGCGGGACAGGACAGGCAGGGCATAGCTCTGACACCCTACAAATCACCCTGTGGGGAGGGGTGTCCTGAGAGCCAGGTCTGGGGCTGCTTGGCGGGAGGGGCACTTCCTCCAGGCCCAGGACCTCTGGTGGGGTCAGGCCTGGATCTGATTAGACAGGCTCCAGGGGGACGCGGGCAGTGAGTGGGCAAGGCAGAGCAGGGGCGGAAGTCCAGGCCCCACCCGGCTGCGCCAGACTCCCATCTGGTGTGAGGGGAAAAAAATCTAGGGCATGTTCAGACGGAGAGTCCTAAGCACATGCTTCACCAGAGAGAGTGGGACTTGGGGTCGGGGTGTGACAGCCGTCTCATGCAGCCACCCCAGGGCGACTGTGCCCACCAACTCTTCCCACTCCATCCAGCAAGAAGCAGGATAGTCTTCCAGACATCTAGCCCCTGCTTGGGTGGCTGGACGATTACAGCGCTTTTGCACACACCAGGCTCATGCAGGAACCCTAGGCACTTCTGCCCACTGTCCCTGACTTCCCATACAGTGGCTGGCCTTAACTAAACACTTGAAATGTGGCCAGTCCGAACTGAGATGAGCTGTCAGTGTAAAAGACACACTGGATTTTGAAGGTAGTATATAAAAAAGAAACACACTCATATTAGGAAAATGCAACCCAAACTCCAATGGAACATATGTACTATCAAAATCCCAGAAAACAGCCAGGCACAGTGGCTCACTCTGTCATCCCAGCACTTTGGGAGGCAGAGGTGAGAGGACTGCCTGAGCCCAGGGATTCGAGACTGGCCTTGGCAATTTGGAGAGACTTTGCCCCTACAATGAACCAAAAAATTAGCTGGGCGTGGTGGTGTTCCAGCTACTTGGAAGGCTGAGGCAGAAGGATTGCTTGAGCCCAGCAGGTCAAGGTTGCAGTGGCCATGAGTATGCCACTGCCCTCCAGCATAGGTGACAGAATGATATTGGACATGCTGGCTGAACTGCATCTGAGAAGTGCTCAGTACTGTCCTGGGCAAGCAGATACCTGCTCTCTGCTGTTGAGGAAAACAGTAAGCTGGGAGGCCACGGGAGGGCAGGCAGGGTGGGACACAGGGGCCACTGTCTCCTGCAAGGGCAGCTGCCCTCCCTGGGGAAGACGTGGCTGGCAGCTCACCCCTGGAGAGTGAGGAAGGACAGGGCCTGCCCAGCCTTCTCTGCATGACTGGCAGTAAAATTTTTAAAAAACTTGTAACAAGATAAAGATTGTTTACATTTAAAAAAAAGAAAAGGATTGCGTGACCCCATGGATTCAAGACCAGCCTGGGAAACATGGCGAGGCCTTGTCTCTACAATAAATAAAAAAATTAGCCAGGTGTGGTGGTGCATGCCTATAGTTTCAGCTACTTGGAAAGCTGAGGCAGAAGGATTGCCTGAGTCTAGCCAGTCGAGGCTGTGGCCACTGCACTCCAACCTGGGCAACAGAGTGAGATTCCAACTAAAAAAAAAACCCAACAAACAGACAAACAAAAACATTTGCAAGGCCTGAATGGTGGGGCTGC